GAAGGGCACTGGCAGTTGAAACTTAGGATTTCAGTCTGCAAAAAGTAGTCATGGATTGAAAGAACATCTGGAGAGTCGTCGACATACATCAGAATCAGAAGTCGTCCCAAAATAAAACCATGTGGAACTCCAATGAAGACTCACACCAAAGAAGATTAGATGGACTAGGAATGTTCTGTTTAATAGGGACTCCTTTATTTAGCGTAGAATTTCCCACTTAAGCTTGAAAGCGTCAAGACTATGGAGCAGCCGGAAGTTCGGGAGTTAAACGAACAACTTAAAGAAGTCGAAAAATATGGCTTCCATTATAAGTTGTTCTTCCGTATCCATAAACATCAAGTTTGGCAAAGGTTCTTTGTAGTTACGTTTTGACATGACCTGATATGACGAGGTTGCCGGGTGAGCATACAGGACTGCGGAAAAGACTACTAGGCAATTTATGGGTTTTCGTTTCAGCCCTTCAAGGAGGCGGCGTTTGGTTTGTTCTTCCACAGTATCTCATGTATTTACATGGTACATTTATATGTTTCCAGGCAGTGTTCAGTATCGTGGCTTCTTCTTGTATGTTGCATTGGCGAATACTTTATCGACAGCGGTTCCGGCTTTTACGACGTTCCGGTTCATCTTTTGCAACACCGGTAGTTATCTATTGGTCCTAGTATAGCTTCCATTAACACGTGATCAAAGGAGTGTACTTCATTGATGATAATCAAGCCAACAGGGATGGTATTCGGCCTGCGCGGCATCCTGTAGATGCAACGTGTTGAATTCAAGGGTTATGCCGAATGATTCCGGCCAGCGCCGGTGCAAAAATATCTACCACACTTGATGCAATATAGTATGATCCAGGAGGCCTTGGGAACGCTGAAATCACCTACAGCTAGAGATTCGTAAAGTGGTATGTGGAGGCGAGCTGTTCAAGCATTTGAATGATGAAGTGGTTATCCCCCACTCACTTACGCCGACAAGAAAAGAAAAGACAAGAAAAGTTCCCACGCACTAGGAATGCAATCCGCAGCGCTTGGAGGCTATCAGCTTTGTACTTTCCCTGGCTGTGCGGTTCTCGTAACAATTCAAAACATCGATATCGACGTTTGTGATCTATTTGTCGGTAGATATCGCTGTCGTCTATGCACATCTTACCCAATTTAGCGTATACGACTTAAATTGGGTAGAGAGATCAACGGAGCACCTTTTTCAACCGGAAACGTAAGAAGCGATGATGATTGCATATGTATTAAGCGTTGCGTTCATGAGAGGCATACGGCCCTACAAACATTACTTTTATGGCCGTCACAAGATCGCTGGCGATTTAGTAGAAACTGCAATCCGAAGTCGCGGCCGGTTGCGTCGGCGTGATAATAAGAGTATAAGGATGTACAACTGCCATCGGAATGGCTAAGCATAATGTCGGCTGAAATATCGCCGAGCACAGGATTTTTTCCACCTGCCCTCTAGGACTGTTTTGGCACAGCTTTTGCACCTCTTGAGGAAGAGCCTCGGATACGAGCTCCACTTTGGTGTAAGTCTTTTGATTTCTTCACGCCCGCGCCAAGTTCCTTTGTACGGCAGTTAGAGAAGAAAAGGTGAATTAAAAATGCAAACTTTCGTTTGTTCCCTTTCCCGCCTTGTATGAAGAAATTTATTTCCAGGCTTTGAGACGATATCATATACCAGTCACTATATAAGTACTGGTGGCAAGTTTGTTGTAGGGAATAAACCCCATGAATCAGTTGTTCTCCGTTATGAGCGCAAGAGACGCTATGTCGTTCTTCATCCCCGCATCATGTATTTGGGTAACCTGCTTTGTAGCCACTGGACCAGAAGTGGATAGCACCAGGTTTTTGTTAAGGAAGGACCATTTGTTATCGACCTTTTTCGCGGCCGGTTCATCAGTTGTGATTGTGTGTTCTTGGGCTTTACAATAAAGTATAAGTTTTTTCCCAAGTATCGCGACTGGAAAAAACATTCATACTAGTCTTTCCTACGCATGAGTTTGTAATTGGTCTTGTTTTTGACACCCTTCTTGCTTGTTGTAGAGTGCATCACACTCCCAAGAAAGAAGAAGCCGGCTCAGACAAACGGGTGAAGAGAGGTAGATAATTGGCCGATCTGCACATTCCGGAAATCCGAACATCTATAATGCCACAAGGCCTGGCAAGACTGACGTTGCATTTTACGTCTGACATTCGGTGAATATTCATTTCGTCCACATCTATTCTGATGCACCAGTAGCTGTGGAGTAGAGCAGCTTGAGGATGAGAGTAAGTGCACCGCAGAAATAAGATATATCTTAACAGAGATTTTCAGGAAAAGATTATGTTGGAGTGGAAAATTTAACACAACGGCAAGCATTAGGTCTGTAAATAGATCAGACTTGTGGGCGGTGGTAAGCTCGGTAGTGAATGTGGCCGGTATCGCATCAAGCGTGGAGTTTGGCAGTATGTCACAAGTGTGAAAATCGGAGAGGGGATCGGCGGAGAAAGCTCTGCTGGGGTCGTATACATGATGACGGAATCCCAATGACGTGACTGATAAGGGGGACCACCAGAAATATAAAAAATTAGCTTCTTAAAAGACTCCCGTTAGTGAAAGTCTAGAGAGTTTTTTGTCGTGTTTTTTCGGGCAATCGTGGCAAGTTTCTGGATATTTTGTGATGCTTTGGTGAGCAAAATTGTCTGCAGCGCAGTCTATGTTGAGGCGTTTCGTTTTTCTTCAAAGAAAAACGCGGCCGACGGATGGTGAGGTGTTGAGAATGCGTTGTTTCCCGTAAGTCAAAGAAAGACAAATTAAGATTACTCAAATTTCTAAATTGTTTTGTCACTGTATGCTCAACAGCACCTGCGAAATAAATCAAAGGTAAAAATCTGGTTTTGAGATCAACTTGAAATTCGTATGTACGCGGAATTACCGAGGTTTTGATGACTGCGGCGCTTAGTGCGGCCCCGCCTAGCAGAGACATACAGAAACTTCGTCGAGGAATTAGGATCTTAAGCATCACATTTTCTTTGCATAGTATAAACAGTACACGAGCAGCTCTCTTCTTGAGCCAATTTGCCATGTTTTCTACCGATTAGGGCTGAATACGAAACTCTGGGTGTTATAAACTTTTTGCTTCCATCTGAGAGGGATATGGCCTTGACGTTACGATATAATAGCGTGCAAGCACGCAGCTTCTCCAAAGAATATCAAACGACCGATCCAAAGAATGCTTTTAGAAGTTGGTGATTATGTTATCATTGACTTTTACAAAGACGAAGAGTTCCTCTCGCGTGCGTGATTCCCGGCACCACAACCTTATGTTTACCTTACGTGGACTCATTTAACAGCTTTAAAAATCCTAGGGTTGCGCAGTCCATAGAGGTATTCTGACAGCGTGACGTTCCAGCTACGCTAAATGTTCGCCAAATCTTTTCCAACGGATCGGTCCAAAGTATCTCGAATGTTGTTATAGAACTTTTCTTCTCTCTCACATTGTGATGCATTTTTACATCATTGGATTCAATCGGAATTCACCGTTGAGCTCCACATCAACCTTGATGTTTCTTCTTCGATGACTTACCATCCGATTTCTTAGCCTTGTGAAACTCAGAAGATAATTAAATACGTCCAGGAGGAAAAGTTGACCAAACGTGCTATTTTCAAGTGCCTTTTCATGCCTGTAACCACTTCAGGCATGTGGACGATTTGCGCAGTTTGAGAAATTTGAAGTTAGCCTGTTTATATAGGCTGTCGACGCGACGCGACGCGATGCGACATCGTATAAAAACATCATCATTGCTAGGTAAAGGATAGAAGTGAGTTAAGAAGGCGATTGGTGGCGACCTGCTGTAAAACATATGTAAACTACTTTATGTCGTCGAGTGCCCATCCTTGGATTTCGAATGGCAGGCTAATTGACCGTATATCCGGTTGCATGACATCACACTTTGTGATGTCACATTCGAAAGGAGAGCATAAGTTTGGACAGTCCGTATGAAAGCAGCGCAGCTTATTTTCTTTAAATACGAAGAGGATATAAAAACATATTTTGAACCGACTAAAATTTGTTTGACAGCTGTGGGAACACCAATGTTTTCACCCGTTAGGACGTGGTACACACGAAAATAAATAGGGTTGGAGGGCGTAGCTTCTACCTACGTACAACATCCTGTGTAAAATGCTCCTTATAATCTAGCGCGCCAGGCAGCGTGTGAATACAGAGAAAATGTTATTTTCTTAAAATTTCTGTGCATCACTGACTAGAAAAGCATGGCTTGGAGAACAAACCGAACACCCGAGCCGAATGCGCTCTGAAAATCCAGGGATGCTCAATTCGAGATACATTAGAAACTATGGCCCATCCGAAGGAGGACAATACCGGGATAGTGAATGAATGATCTACGGGTTAGCGTGAGGCGACGAAGAATGATTAACGTCATCAGTTCAGTCAGGACTAGATCGAGGCCGATTCTCAGTGTGATAAATACACTCACCGGTTGGCTTTCCCGCTAACAGCTTCCCAGTTATCTGAAACAGTTCCCTATCTCAGACGCAATCCGATAACTCAGAAAAGTATTGAAACCGGGCGTCACCCCATCTCTGGATACTACAGGTTGGGGGCATCAGGACCGGGGGATATATATGCAGCCACCAACCTCCCATAGCACGTTTCAAATTGAACGTTCGGGGATAGACTTTACTTGGGGAACCTAAACGAATGGCAGCAAATAAGCACGAAGACAGTTCTCGTCCGTACAGGAAATCAAATCAAACACGGCCTTGCCGACCTAAGGAATTGCAGAAGTAGGCATGTAATATTGATTGGAACCGGGTACTAGATTTGGCGTAGACAGCAAGCGGAGGACTGTTATTCCACGTAGTATCAACCGAAAATGAGAAAATACTCTTGCATATAAAGTGTGTTAACAATGAGTTTAAAAATTATTACCATGTGTTAAGGAGGTCAACGGTGAGAATCCTATTGAATTAACCTTATTAAAACAGGACATAAGTAATAATTAGATCTCCTCGTAGGCACCGATATTCCAGAGAGAAGAGGTCAAGCAGTGCGAAGCGCGTTTCATGGCCGTTAATGGACTACCGGCGAAAATTTTCGTAGCAACTAGCTAGACATTGTCAGTGAGGATTACTTCCTTCTTGAGTCCTGAGTAGATAACTTGGGTGGCGTATTTAAGGAGCGGTATTACGTAGGCCCATCACCTTGCAAGATGTGATAGTGAAGGAGCTGCCGTTCAGCGGTAGGTAAACATTTATGTAGATCGGCACGGCAAGCGTTTTCTTCAAAGTAGAGCAAAGTTTGCCCTTGTAAGGCGACCGATGTTGCACCAGGCACAAATGCTCTGCCAGTTTGAGAAACGTTCACCGCAGGTTCCTCGGGTAAACCATGCTTTTGTCCAACGCACTCCGAAGGTTCGTTTTGTGCAAGAGTTAACAAATGCCGCGCTCAGTGAAGCAGGACGAAGTGGTTGGCTTATTACTCCGGCGATGTCAGATTCACTAAAATACTGCAGTTGTGTCTTTTCTGGAACCTATCGCTTGGCCAGTTTTCTTGTGTTCAGATTTGAGATTCTGATTTGCCGCGTTTACTTCAGTTCAATCAGGCGTGTCGAAATAAAATTTCAAAACATCCCCGAAAATCAAATAGAAAGATCGGCAAAGGCGCACTTTAAAGATCCCAGTGAGTGTTTGCCGAGGGTCCTGATATCCAACCTGCTTAAATGTAATGACCTTAAACCTGGAGTTAACAGTGTTCTGATAGACAATTATCCGGTTACTGTGATCACATTGCTTGAACTTCCAAATGGCACGGTTCCTGTGTTCTCAGTCCATAACAACAGAAACCAATGGTCAGCCTGGAAACGGAAACGCTAACTGTGTGAACACGATTTTAATTCACTGGCATGATGCTCTCTGCTTCCGATGGATGAGCTAAGGGGTTGCAGCAGATGAAAACGTATGATGTAATCTTGCGTTATTTATTACGGGACACGTTACTGCTTGTTCCACGCACTCTAGAAGAAAAACAGCAATGACGCAATGGACTTAAATATGCTAATGATTATTGAGAATTCATCAGTATAACGCGTGATGTTGCTGAATTAATGATATAGCAAGGCTGCTTCTAGATCATCGGTAATGCTTTTGGAGAATCATTGGTATAGTGTTCATCCTCAAGACCGTTCGAGATCGACTGTTTTGTAGCAAACTGGCATGCGACAGGGTACCGAGAATTGCGTTCTGACAATTGGCTTTAAAATAGTATCAATTCGGAAGCGGTACGGTTGATTTTTAAATGATCGAAAAATGACTTGAAGATGACCTCAAAGACTCATGGGAAGGAAACAGAAATTCCGAAGCTGAACAGTGCCTGACGAAGCAGAAGCCATTCGTTCCAAAATTATAACTTTTAGAAGAGAATTTCGGAGGCAGTAAGAAGTCCTCATTCACAGAATGATAGTTATTAGTTAGCGGCTTTCTACTGTGTTCAGTGATTTTTATCCTTGTGGACTGATCTAACCGTCGGTGTTTCCAGAGGTGATAATGTGTTTCATGTCCTATTTCAATACGGAATGCTATCAAGATAAATAATCACTGATGTATTGAACAGCAAACAAAGACACGGTAAAGACGAAAATGTAAAATCAAACTCGAGGAATTTTAGAAAAGAAGAGCAACAGCAAATTACATGTTGTTGCCAACTGGTTAAACGCTAGGCTGTGTATAAGTGGTTAACCACAACATTCGATAACACATTTAAAAAAGAACCTAACACAAAGCCGTAATACAGTCGCTATGCTTAGCCAGATGTGCATCCACCAAACGGATGTCTTGAATCACTGATAGAGTCAATTAGGATGACTATCGCATTCAGTGGTAAGGGGACGACAAGCAATAAAGTAGTATTCAGATCAATTCTTACGCAATGTTTACTGGTGCAACGGTTTGATCGCCTTTTGATCGGAAAGTTAAATGATCCCTGTTGGAAGCACCAATCAAAATTACAAAATTGACCCCCTTCATATGAACTTGAAATTGTCTTATGCAAACACTTCTAATGGGTATATCGGTTGTAATTTGAAGCAGTAATATTAACGCTTGGGTAGCCTACTTGCTGAAATGCAACAAAATCAGTAAAATTTTCAGTAATGAACTTAAGTTGACCTCTATGAACGAATATTTCGTTTCAGCTTGTGTCAAGCGTCTTATACTGAACGGGTGGTTACAATGGTTAAAGATCAAAGAGGGTGGAAAATCACATGTTGTTTACCTAAATATTCCTCGAACCATAAGGAGAATCAACAATTCTGGCGATAACCTACTGTTCAAGCAATAAACTGTATGCTGAAGTGTACATAACGGAAGCCAAGATCGTACGATTCGGGGCCTTGATACCTTCGCCCAACACCAGGAACTATATACGCTGAAAAACAACAGGTGCATAAGAAAATCGCTTAATTGTTGGGGGTCCCATAAATGGTGCTCATTTGTGGCCTGCCGATTTGACTTAAAAAAATATTACGCCGACTGGATTAGAAAGTCGACGTTAGATATTCTCTGGTCAAATGAGGCAAACGCGTAGATAACAGCTACAAAAGCGGGTTTCATTCTCGATTTTCTGTCAGTCGAAACAAGGTTTGAGAATCAGATGCTGCAGGCAATGAAGATTATTATGACCAGCCCTATTCATTCAAATTCAAAAGCGCTCTCTTTGATTTGGTCCATTTTGACTGTAATCGCTATCAGTAATTTTAAGTGTAGATGGTCAAAGCGCGCGGACTGATAACAGAACAATGATTGGGGAAAACGCGGTTGCTGGTGAACTCAGTTTGGAGGGCTTCGAATAAATAATCACTTTGCAGTTGTTCGTAGATATCTTTTCATTCAGGGAGCAAGAAAAGGATGCCACACTGTCAGATGGGCGTGAGCGGTGCCTAATATTACCTTGTTCAAGAGTTCTAAAATATAGAGCAAAAGTAGTCAACAGGAACCAAAACCAAAAGGGCTTCAATTTTCTACAATCTAGTCAAAGGTTTTGTGAAAGGTGACGCATCAACACACATGCCGGTTGTGCAGTGAACCCGGTGGAAACACCAAACAAGGTTTGTCCGGTAAAGGTGGATAGAAACTGACTGATTTCGAAATGGTCAACTCAACTTATGCTGGTCTTGGCATTTAGTTGGAATGCACAGAAATTGTGCGGCTTGCACCCTTTGTAAACTTGACAATTTTCTGGAAATGTTCAGCTTTACTGGGAATAACTCTCTCTGCGATACTTTGGGCGCTCTAGAGGAAAAAAACATCCATTCATATTTGACGCCTGATCTGGAACAACATGCCTCTGGAGAGCACGGACATTTATGAAAATCTGACTACCACCAAATAGCTTGCCTGTCATCACAACGTAAAAAAGAAACCATGAGAGAAAAATTATATTTTTTATGTCCACCGGCACATTAAATATGAAATTAATGTCACAACACCCCTCAACATCTGTGTTCGTATAAGCAAGGACGAACAGGCGCACCGTTAACCAAAAGAGATGAAACAATCGATGCTAGCTAGTGATCTACAAGGATGGACAATGCTCACTCCCTTTAGGTTATTGAAATGTGATGTGCATGAGCATGGCCAGTGTGATTTCCTGAACTGTTTAGACCTGAGCACTCTGTTGAACGATTTTGGTTAGCGTCGCCACTAAAATGTCCACCTGATCCGGCGCTCTAGAGCTCCATCCAGGAGGCTTTTGGAACGTTGAAGTCACCTACCAGCAGGCGAGGCGTGAAGTCGTGTCTGAAGAAGGTTTGCTCGGGAATTCGTATGAGGGATTGACCATCTTCAGGGAGAGCCAAGGAGCAACGGTGGGCCACCTCCTGCAGGAAAGAATCGGACCTCCGCTGCGGGATTCGGATTCACAGTGCATTGCAAAAAGGTGTGAGAGTGATAGCAGAGAGGACTCCGCGTCAGAGGTTTGAGCAAGGCCTGTTGTTCAGTGCTAACTTACTGTTTAATATTGCAGACTTTGTTGAAAAGGCTGAGGCCGTTTGTGGGTAAGCATTTCAACACTGAATCTGAGGCCCCCGAAGTTGTGGACTCGAGAGTTGAGTGACCAGATAAGCTAACAGTCTTCAAAGGAGCCTCTAAGGCATACTCGTAATGTTGGTTTCGCGGGATGTTTCTTATTTCAGAGTATTTTCCACATTGTGGGAGCTGAGTTTGCGCGAAGTTTTTTCTCTACTGCAAAAATTTGGGCAATCGCTACCTGTAGCTCTTTCAGTACCGCGTCTTGGACGACCACCTTTGATGTTGCTCAAGGATTTGGGGCAAAATTGCGTCTGTTTATTTTATTGGACATTTTAGCGCTGCTTCATTGGAATGATGTCCCCGTGAAGTCCTGAGAACTGGGTGGCAGGACGGAGAAGTAATTCGTTTGGTGGCTTTCCCGTGGGTCTACCTTTCGCAGAACACTGTAACTTGAGACCAGCCAGCTGTTTTCTGATTTGAAAAACCTTATTCGGCATGTTTGACTGTAGTCATAGTTCTTTCATGTTTGTGTAGATACCCGAATCACCCGCGACCAGCATGGCCAGCTGCGTGTGCGGGGAATTTTCCGGTTTGATGTGGTCAGATTTGTGAATTTTGCTGTCGGGATCCTGGGCTACAATCAAGGAAGCCACGTTTGACGAAGTAGAGCTGGAGTTTCACATTCCTACTGTTTGCACGATTCTCGCAGCATCCTCTGGTGTCGAGATCAGCACATGTTGATTTGCCGGTGAGCATCGCTGCTCGTCTCCGAAAATCTGACCCAGTCCAGCTTGGGGGTTGTGACTCAAGAGCGGATTTGACTGCTACATCTTTGTCATCTGTCGCAAAAAGAAGCGCCAAGGCAGATAGAGGTGCCGGGAGAGTTCGCCATTTGGCTTACATGGTCGTCTTGTAAATGCGTGGATATAAAGTGCCGACAGGCCTTGCTGGTGTGGTGTTGCATACTGTGTCTAACGTTCTGCTCACATCTGTTCTGGTGCATCGATGGCTTCACAGGGAAGCCTGTATTAATTATAGTCATGATCGAGGCTGGGTAAAAAACAGAAACTGGGTATAAGTTAACAGAGGGTGTCGCGTGATTGTTGTGTTAGAGTGAGAAAATTCAACAAACGACATGGGAGTACTCTGTAGATAAATTGAACAGTGGGACGAGGGGCGAAACAAAATCAGTTTAGAACGTACCGCCCAACGTGCGGTCGAAGGGCGTGGCAGACAGGTTAAAATCATATTCACGTTTAGGGAACCATTAATTTTGAACCAAAGCCCCGCATACTAAGTGTTGTTTACAGTTATGAACACCCTTTCTGTCGAGAAAGTTTGTACCTCGTATTCTCGTATTATTATGAACATGTTACCCGTATATCTGATGGAATCATGTTTGAGGTAGGCAATTTGAAAAATTTCATAATCCACGGCAACCTACAAATCCAAATTTGATCACTGATGACTGTTAAACCAGTAAGATGCATGTGATGAGATCTGCTGGACACGCGAAAGCTCAGTTTGTTGTGATTCTTCTCTGCTTTGTTGCAAAATTTCAGGCCCGAAAAATATAGAATGTGGAAAGTTAAAGCAAAGGCTAATGATGTACAGCATGTGATATAACATCATTCATTTTTGGTTGTACATTGAAGACAATGGCCACATGGATTAAAGTAACTGGGAGCGACGAATGTAGAACGGTTGCTGGGCATAATAAATAATGAGAGAAAAGTGCCTCACTCATAGTGGTGCCACCAGTATTTCCATCCAGGCAATTTGAATTCAGAAATGCTTAGTATTGAAACACGCGTGTAAAGACCAGCAACTAAAGAGAGAAAAAATACTAAGTTCATTTTAGGGCGCGTGAAGCGCTAGCTCGGTGAAGAGTTGCATATCGGGCACCATTGTTCGTTATACCGGGTATGATGTGAGCGCCAATGCTTGAATTGTACACTCAATCCCACATATCATGCATAAACGTTTCTCAGGAACGCAGAGAGCCCACAAGGACAAACAAACGCAAGACTTTAGGAAGTCGCAGTCCAAAAGTGGACATGACGTTTTGAGGAAGAAAGATTCATTGATAAATATAATTAACCGTTCGTGGACCAAAAATTCAACGTCACAAACAATTGCACATGGGGCTGCAATTATGGCAGGGGGATATTAATCAGAACCATATCTCTGCTTGATTCCATTGCACGTGACACTCCGCGCCAATCCAAGAATATGTTTACTTCTATCTCAGTTTCCGGGAGTTTCCGAATAATGACTAAATCAGGCAGATAAAAGATGTTGACGTAGGTGCGCTCATGTCCTCGCAGTTGGTGTATCGCAGTTGACGGAGGCGTTTCCCGACTTTCCTCAAATTTCGATTTTCAGGAGCACATGTGACATTATTTGCGATCCAGCAGGACGACAAAATAAGCAACAGGCATTCCATTGGGCCTCACGACAGAAGGTCGTCTAGCCATCATGACCATACCGGTTGCTTTTAAAAATCGTTGTAAGAAGTTTGTATCGGAGCTGAATACCGCGGATAAGTATCCGAGGTAACTTTCGTTCTAGAAATACAGAGCATCAAAACAGCATCCAAAGAGGTGAAGCAACCAAATCTCGTAGGCTCCAACCTCCAACACTGCTGTGCAGACTATCACCCCAGGCAGCTACCAGCTCTTTCTTGATGTTTGCCAAATGCGGAATCGTTGAATATATTGCGTGGTACGTGGCATTTTTCAGACGGACGCTTTGTTATGTGCTCTTCGCTGCTTTGCACTCAAACATGAAAGCACTCAACAAGCAGTTAACCCAAAGCATTACCTGGAGATATCTCTTTCTCTATCTTTGTTGCCCCAAAATGCGCCATACGTTTTTGAAATTTTGAAATCTGTTTCGAGTCCATTATTATACAGTCGGATCTAACTGTATTTACCCTGGTGTTGTGGTTGTGCCTACAGGTGCTATTATCTACGGAATCACTGCTAGTTGTACGATTCCTGTGAGATGACCAAAAGACACAGATCGGTTGTACTTTTTGTTTCAACCTCAGCACCATTAATTGTCGAGCTCAAAGTTTTGCGCTCAAGGCGAACTTACTGATTTCTCTGAATAAGAGTGAATTCAAACAACCGGTTATTATGTGCTCTGAGGGCGCAGGTGGAATGCAAATACCCAAGGTGAAACCCGAGGCTGGTCGATATTCTTTATTTCTCAACTGACCAAATACTCCATTTGATATACGTGGTTCCGTTTGTAAACAGTCAAATTTAGTGTGTGAGTGTATATTACTGACTCATGTTGAAGCGCCGAATTGAGAACCTCCGATTGTTACCGATACCGACTCGGCGAGCGACTGCTGTTGCAGACTTGCACTACGGGTGTTTATGAAATGGAATCTTTCGCACGCTTGATAAGCTGGTGGCCGGCTAAAAATTGTGTAGGATGTACGCACAAGGTCCCCAGAAAATCTCAGTGGTGTTTGTGGATAGTTTCTTGTGAAACATCTCAAAGTGCTCGTGCCTACCACTGCGATCCGTTTCTCGGTGAACACTAGGCTTTATTATTATTGACGCACATTCATGTTGGCCTAGACATTTTCTGCCCACGTCTCCACATTCTGAGTTTAAACTGGTTTGGGCTTGCTGACGACCACTGAAATCTGCCATAACTTCACTCCTTCCCGTTTTTGTGAAAATAGACCGCGGAATTGTTAGTTTTCTCATGCAATGCAGGAACGCCGTTCATTCCGTTACTGGGAAGAGTCTCGCTGATTGCGTTAAACCTTGAATGTGCCTAAACCATTGAGGGGTTATTTTAAGGGTAATCATTTACTGCCTAATGCAGGGTCTCAATTCTTGGTTTAGATGATCTCTCCTTTCACCGGAGACCCATTGATCAGGTTGAGTTCAACAACATCAATCATTCTGTTAAGGGCATTTCTGCTGTTTGGAATTTTAGTGATTCTTTTGTAGAGGATCTTACTTTACCTGAACAAAATGTTTTATTTGAATAAAATAATACCTGCGCAGAACCTGAAGTTTCCAAGCCTAAAAGATCCAAAGAAGTTTACGGTCAAGGCGATCAATGACTATACACATCCACACGCTTATTCAAGGTGTAGCGGACGTGACTAAAACGTCGGATGCGCTTTCAGTTGTTCTATGCATTACTCCCTTCTTATATTATTCCATATGGCATGCACACACGTGCTACTTGTTACGCCGTGCTAGTTTCTAAATTTCCGCTTGGTTATACCGAAATCAATTACTGCAAATGCCAAGTTCCTCATATTGTTCATCGGCGTAGATCGGGGTGCGTTACATGGACGTAGCCAGCCCAATCTAATTGTTGAAAAGTTTGATCACGTTTTGGTGGACTTGGCGGCAAATGAGCGAACAAGTGAAACCTTTTATCAAAGAGATAGTTGCGATCTCCATTTTTAATGTGGCTTCAATCGGGGACGCGCCACATCATGCAGTTTGAGCAGCTGCTGTCTGCGGCTGCAGACACCTTTCTTTTTGAAAGTAAAGGGAATGCCCAAATATGTCAAGGTGTCTTTCGGATACAGAATGTTTCCCGTCGTCGCAAGTTGCTATCACTTTTATCTATCTTTATACCAATTCGTCAGCTGCTCTTTAAGAGGAGGCTGAGTTACTTTTCACGCGACTTACTCGACTGAAAAGGACTAAAGATCCAATAAGGTGCTATGGTTGCGGCATCAACATTCACTGACCCTATTCATTACGATGATAAACAGAAATATGGGAAGTGCCCAACAACCCTGTGCCTTAAAGCTGGCCTTCATAATTC